TTGAGTTCAACATGTGCTGGAGAGATACAGTTACACATGGGCAGGGAAGTGGAAGTCTGGATTAGGTTTACACAGCCTACATCAATCTATCCGCTCTAGTTGGAGAGCACGGGAAGTGTTCCACTAACACCTATCAACACACTTTTAAATAAGATGTATTTGATACTACACAAAATAACTCAGGTAATTCTGTAGATAAAGTATATATGCAAAAGAATAAAGACTTTAAATGTATTTGAGAACTGTTAGGCTGCTCTTAAACATAGTTGTCAACTGGGAATTATTCAGTAGGAATGTATTTATAGATCATCCAAGGTCAAATACTATTTAACACTATCATCAATGTACATGACGTACATATAAAAAAGTCACTGTTCTTAAAATTGTGGATGACATAATCTGGTAGAATAGTAAATTAGAATTTAGTACTTGTACAAAGCGGTCTGTGTAATCTAAACATAAAATAGGTTTTCACGTCAGCTGATGCAATGTTACACGACCAGAAAGAATAAGAGACTGACTTAAAAAAAGAAATTATTTATTACAGCATATACAACTTAACCCGGGCTCTCACCATGATGCAATGGGAAAAAGGACATTCATTGGATGTCTGAAACACTAAAGGTAGGAAAAACATCTCCCTTTGTAAATGGCATTACTGATCTGAAACCAATAATGGAGCAAGATCATACAGTTCTAGTGTTCCCACTTTCAACTCTTTATCAAATCAAAAGCAGAAGAAACCCACCAAGTGTAGGCTATAGAACAGAACTATGTTAACGAAGAGAACATTCCCTACAGTAAAATACTTTTTAAATTTAGCAGAAAAAAGATGGTTAGAATCATGCCATATATTTCAATTTCCCTGTCTTTAAAATTTTGTCTTAATCTTTAACCACCAGAATAAACTGAATCATGAGTTCTGCATCTCTTGATGTCTCTCAGTTGAATGTGCATGTCTTTCCAGAAGATATATTTTAACCAAATACAAGTGATTATGCTCGATACAGGCATCAATAGATGAGTGTTAAGGTATACAACGCAGCAAAGATCAGATTGGAAGATCTAATGGCCTTTCTGAGCCTTAGTGGGGGGAGGCACAATCAATCAATGTATCTGGCTCCATAGATTCTCCTGTTAAAGAAATCGATGGAAGCAGTCAGGACGGTACACAAAGTCTCCTCATTTATAACCACTGAACAATTCAGCTTTTGCTAAGCAATGGAACTGATATCTACAGAAAGATAGCTTATTACCTCAGCTTTTCATTTCTCTCAAATTTGCACCATGTGTTCTAGATTAACAGTCACTTTTTTGCTTTTTACAGCTTCCCAAAAATAAAGCATGCACACAAAATGCAGAATTGCAGCTGTTTATGACTTTTCACAGTGTAAGGAAATGAATTCCATTTTGAATTCCATTCCACATTTTTAGTTTTGGTTATGTTATTTTTGGAGGATGAAATAGTAGCATTCCAGCTAGCCTTTTTAAGACCTTTTCCCGACTCTTGGTTTCTGTCACCGTATTTCTACTTTTAAGTGAAAACACATTTCCACTTGTGATAATTTGCACTAAAAGTGAGCTGTTTGCTAACTTAGTAAATTTTGCAATTTGGATATGATGTTTTCATATTCAGAATGCAATAGTCAGCCCAATAGAATGCCAGCAGAGAATTAACGTCAAATTGTGTAATGCAACAAAATCGAAGCCCAGAAGAAAAGGCTTTTATAGGAAATTCACTGCAAATTTGTAAACCAATAAAGCAAGCTGAAATAGTTATTATTTCATACATATGCATGCAGAATGCACAAACTAGGAAGTTCACAATGACTAGGAGTCATTAGCATATTTTACTTGCTGCTAATCATTTGAACAATACTTACAGAGAGAGAGTACAGAAAGTAAAGTGATGACCTTTACTACAAAAATATGTATTGACAATCCAGTTGGTACCCTTATTCGGTTTGCTAGTTTTTCCAGTGTATTACATGAACTGATCTACAACGTAAGCTTACAAAACATAAAAATCAAGTGCTAAGCAGCCACCAATCTGAGTTTTGCAGGTTAGATCTCACCTTCAAAACCATAACAGTTTTTAGTGTATCTACTCTATGACCAAGACAGGGGGGATGAGAGAAAAAAAGAAACACTCCTGTGAATATAAAAGTAGAGAGTGTGAAAAACTACCAGGGTTAAGTATTAACCTGATGCATTTTTCAGAACGACTGTACTATTTTTAACTGCTCTTTTTTGGCCACAGGTCAAAGTTTTCCTAGCAAAATACCAAAGTGAAAATGCTGGGAGCGAAGCCCAGAGGCAGCTCTCTTTGCTTTGGCCTAGGCTAAAACTTATCTGAATCTAGTCAGATATGTAGCACTGTTTCCCACTGCCCTTCATTGACTACTATGCACGTCGTTATGCTTCTGAATGTCTATGACTGGAACAATACAGCATTAGAGCCTGGAGAAGAGCATTTTTCAGATGTTATAGGAGATTCCTATATTCCCCACACGGCACAGGCACACGCATACTGTTCAGTCAGTTCCTGTATTTTGGCCAAACAGAACTGAGTCATTTGAAAAAAAAAAAAAAAACAAACTAGGACTCAGTGCCTTTAGCCTAAAGGCTAAAGTGCCTTTAGCAGCTCTTGGAAGGATTGAGATTTCTGCTCCGTTTTCTGTTTCTCTTAACCGGGACAGATTGGAAAACTTGGGACCGACTGGAAATACCAGGTATGAAGACCTAGCAGTTTAGTTAAAAAAAACAAATAGATAAAAAAGACTCCCTCTCACCACCTTTCCAGGGTTTAGATGTTTTAATGGAGAAATATAACTCCCTTCCCACTCCTTCCTGAGGGCATGGATTTCTTACTGAAGGAAATTATATTTCATACACTCACACAGAAAAATGTCATTTGAAATAGGAGATGGACGAATCAATTTGTCCCAATGGAGAATAAACCTGACCCCAAAGGATCCCCAAGTCACATTTCTCCCTTAGGCGTGTCCTTTTCCTGAATTATTTCCACACCAGACAGCAAATCTCAGCCTTAACTTATCAGGAGACGCTCTAACATGGCGTTTTGAGAGGATGGGTACTACCGTGTGCCGTGAACCGCACACAAAGACAGGTACTTTAAATAAACACACCATGACGACGCGTGAAACTAAAAGATATGAATTATGCTGGGGTGGAGGGAAAGGGAAAAAAAAAAAAAAAAAAACTACCGTGTGCCGTGAACCGCACACAAAGACAGGTACTTTAAATAAACACACCATGACGACGCGTGAAACTAAAAGATATGAATTATGCTGGGGTGGTGGGGAAAGGGAAAAAAAAAA